CCTTCTTCTCATCCTCAGGAGTCCTTCTCTCATCCTCCTCTCCCTCCCTCCTTTCTTTCTCAATATAGCATGCATGCGATGGTGAAGACGCAACTCGGGTGGGGAACTTTGCGAAGGTCGATGAGCAGTGGCTATTTGCCAGCAGCTCTTTCATGTTCAGCGAGCGTCAGAGCGTACAAGAGCCTTCTTGTTCCAAGAGGTTGGAGACGGGAGGGGATAGCGAGAGCCATGTCGACTACGAGGGAGGGAGAGGAGGAGTTCCTAGATAGGCTCGAGGCCGGACGCCCAGGCGTCGAGCTGGGGCTTGACAAGTCTGTGCGTCTCCTAGAGAAGTTGGGATTGCCGCAGAGAGAGCTGAGGGTGATGCACGTCGGGGGGACCAACGGGAAGGGAAGCGTCTGCGCCATGATGTCTTCAGTGCTACAAGCAGCCGGGTACTCCGTCGGCGTGTTCAGCTCCCCCCATCTCCACCACTGGTCGGAGGCCGTGACGGTGAACGGGATGGTGGACGTGGAGGCGTGGAGGAGAGCGGTGGGTAAGGTACAGCAGCAGCTCGTGCAGGATGGAGAGGACGGCAAGTTCACTGCCTTCGAGGCGGCTTGCGCTGCCATGTGGGTCCAGCTAGCAGAGAGGCAGGTGGACTACGCGCTGATCGAGGTTGGGGTGGGGGGTCGACTGGACGCCACCAACGTGTGCGAGGAGGTGGAAGTAAGCATCATCACCAGCGTCGGGCTGGACCATCAGGTGCTGCTGCTGTACCTCCCTTCGCCTCCTCCTCCTGGCTGAATCCTCTTCCTCCCTCCTCCTCCTCCCTCCTCGTCCTCTCTGACTCCTCCCGCAGGACCTGCTCGGCGAGACCGTCGCTGCCATCGCCGAGCAGAAGAGCGGCATCATGAAGAAAGCGTGCCCCTCCGTCGTCTCCTCCACCCTCCCCGAAGACGCCATGTCGGTTGCCATCTCCTCAGCCAAGTCTCTTTCCTGTGACCCCTTTCTCGTCGCTCCTCCTGCCGTCCCCGTCAGCTCCTCCTCCTCCCACCTCGGCTGCACCCTAGCTCGTTGGCAGGACCCGATGACTGGAAGCATGCTTGAGTTCGAGCTGTCGCTCCACGGTGACTTCCAGCTGTCAAATGCCGGTACGTCTCACCAGTCCTCTCAACCACCACCACAACTAGCTCCTCCTCTGATCTCCTCCTCCTCCTCCTCCTCTGATCTCCTCCTCCTCCTCGAGCTCCCCGTCCTCCTCCTCTCCTCTCCCCCTCCTCCCGCTTTTCCTCCCCCTGCTCTTCTTGACGCGCTTGCAGGTACGGCCATCGCTGCCCTCAAAGCTGTTGCTGCTACTCACTCCCGCCGAGGTCCCAGTGCTTGTCCCCTTCCTCTGTCTACTCACCTCCTCTTCTCTACCGCTTCTCACCCTCTCCTCCTCTACCTCTCCTCATGCTCTGTTCCTCTGCCTTTCCTCCTCCCCTCCTCTATACCTGCCCTCCTCTACTTGTCGTTCTCCCCCCCTCCTGTACCTCTCCTCGTTCTCCTCCCCTCCTCTGCCTCTCCTCGTTCTCCTCCCCTCCTCTACCTCTCCCCGTTCTCCCCCTCTCCTCTTCCTCACGGTCGTCCCTCAGGTACACCGAAGCCTCTGGTGCTGTCGGACGAGCACATTCGCGAGGGGATGCGGCGGGCGAGCTGGCCGGGGCGGCTGGAGTGGACCACGTGGCGGGGGAGAAGCATCCTCCTTGACGGGGCTCACAACAGCGAGGCAGCCGCTGCCCTCCGCTCCTACATCGACAGCATCTCCCATCGCTACCCCAAGGTGCTCTCGCTCCCTTCCCAGCTGGAGATGAGCTCGTGCTGAGCTGGGCTGGTGCCGCAGGTGCACTGGGTGGTGGGCATGGCAGAGAGCAAGGACGTGGAAGGGTTCGTTCGCATCCTCGTTCGGCCCTGCGACGTCGTCGAGGCCGTCAGCGTTCAGTCGCTTCCTCGACGGCACACAGCAGCGTCTCCTGATCGCATTCAGTGAGGGGACGAGGAGGAGGAGCGGCAGCAACTGATGGCCGTTGCAGGAAGGCGGTGACAGCAGCAGGCGCTTGCTGCCATGTGTCTGCCACGCTCACAGCGGCGCTTGAGCGAGCATGCGAGGTGATGGAGGCGCTAGAGGAGGAGGGATGTAACTTGTCTGGCAGGACGAGGACAGTCTCAAGGTGCTGTGCGGGTCGCTTCACCTCATAGCAGATTTTTGAGCTTGTGAAGAAGAAAGTTCTGTGGATTTCTTCCCTCCCTCCCTCCTCCTTCCTCCTTTCATCTACGCGCTTCTCTCCCTTCTGTTCCTCCCCCTCGCTCTCCCTTCTCACTCCCTTCTTCGCATACTGTATGCTCATTCTTTCAAATGTTTGACATCATTGAATGTTGCTGGCATTCACGAATGAAGTGAGAAAGGAACTGCAGCAGCTGGCAACATGACATGTATCTGTATCTACATCTGTATCTACATCTGTCTAACAAGGACAAGCAGCAACAAGACACGTCATGTTAACATGAATCAGCATCTCTCTTACTACATGTCAAGTTTGCTTTTCACCTTCGCTTGCTCGCCCTCCTCCCCGCTCTTTCCCCTCCTCGTCATCTTCTGCACCTTTGCGGATTTTCACCCCCTTTCCCTCCTCCTCCTCCACCTCCTCCTCCTACTACTACTACGACTACTACTCTCCTTCCTCCCTCCCTCCCCTTCTCCGCCTTGTCGTGCTCCTCCTCGCCCTTCACCTTCCCCTTCCCCTCCTCCTTCTCCTCCTTCTCCTCCTTCTCCTCCTCCTCCTCCTCCTCCTCCACCACCACCACCACCACCTCCTCCTCCTCCTCCTCCTCCTCCTCCTCCTCCTCCTCCTCCTCCTCCTCCTCTGATCCCCTCCTGATCTTCGCTTGGTCTTCAGCTTTGCATGCCAGTGTGACCTGTCGACTTCTGTCATGCTCGCAAACAAGCAGGAGCCAGCAAGAGAGAAAAAGCATCTGGACCATCTCGATGGCATGCGATTCATGGGTCAGGCGAGTCACGACGTAGTAAAATGTCAGAACACACGAAGATCTAGGACATGCCCGTCGACCCTGAGGGCCACGACATGGTAGTAAAGAAAGATAGGGCTCAGCTAAGGAAACAGAGACCAGAGTAGCTCCCCCTCGGAGCAGCCGGGCGTC